TGGATTTCAAGGAGTTGCAATCCAAGAGGACAATGAGTATTCGAGGGTACTTATTTCCCACTCATCCTGTTTTTCAGGGATGCTGTGGGGAAGATGGAAATGTTATGGAGGTGGATGGGTCTCATCCTGGCAGAACACTGGGCCTGACCACGGCCGAGTTAAAACATGTGTTGCAGACCAAAGAAGAAACCCCAGAAAACCTACTGCTTGAGCTGGAGAAACACGTTATGGTAAAAGAGTTGGAATAATCAAGCCCCTGCTGCAGTCTTGTGCATTGAGCTGTTTTTAAACCATGCAGACTATTCCTTCTTGATGAGAAGAGCACAGATTTCTGTGGCATGTTTCATGGAATTGATAGTAGCTGCTGCCCTTGTTTTACTACTGACTTTAATGCTTAGCAAACCTGAAGCGTCCATGTGGTGACCTGGTTTTTGTAGTGTGCTGAGGAGCTCACCGCTGTTTCTGTGTTTAGGCCGCTCAGCCTCACTGTTTATGGGCAGAGGGGCTGCTTTTTCTAGTGCCACTTTTCTCTTTTAGCAACAAAAACATGTTCCTTCCTCTGGGAAGGTGAAAAAAAATTCTGACTTGCCATGTGTTCACCTAGGATCGTTCTAAAGAAGACGATGGCCTTGAATCCTTACTGGACAACATCGTTGGTGTCAGGCAAATGCTGGAATCAGCAGGTGATTCTTGTCCGCTGAGTGACCAAGACACAGAGCCAGTTCTTTCTGCACCAGACTCTCTGCAGAATTTGTTCAACAACAGGTAAAATTCTTAAATGCGGAGGTAACAAAGTGTATTTGAAAAATGTGTAGCTATATTTAATGAAGAGCATAGGTGTAAGTGTGATTGATTTCCCTTGACTCCCGCGGGAAGGGCGCTGCAGGCCCTGCGCGCTCCCCGCTGCCGCGTGTGCCTTGCAGGCAGCAAAAGGCCCCTCGTTGCTGTGTTGCAGGACCACGTACGTGCTGGCCGAGGTGGTGGACGAGCAGCTGAAGTCCATGTGGTTCTCCCCCTTCCAGGCGGAAGAGATAGACAATGACCTGGATATGGTAAAAGGCTTCGTTCCTTCATGGGTTTAGAAATGAGGGTGACTTGAGCTGGTAGTGTTAGAGAATCACTTGGCGAAATGATTTGTTCTCCTAAGCTCATCCTTTTAAATTGACCCAGCTTGTAGGGGTCGTCATTTGTAACAGTTTCTAACCACACACCTTCAAATTCCTAGGGAAACTGCCAGAAACTTATCCTTGTCCCAGCACCCTCGTGCAGGAGTCACCTCCTTCTCAGCAGCAGTGAGTGCATCAGTCCTGGCCTGGCTTTTCTGCCCCTCCTGGGGCAGTGGTTTGTGCTAAATGTGGAAAAGAGCCTGGTATCTTTGCTATCTTTGCTCTTTTCCTCTCACTTCTTTG